TTCGTAATTTGTCAGTTCGTAAATTAATATTCTGTTGTGATCATGTAATTCGTATAAATTTAAAAATATAAATATTACAATATGTTTAAAATAAAATTATAAATAGAATATATAAAATTATATCCTGTAATAGCGTCCAAGTTTTTATTAAGAAACCCAAAAAGGGGTATGTATTTGTTTTATTTAGCAATTTTAATTTTATATTTAGGTAAACATACAAACTGTTTTTATATTCATTTCTTGTTTGTAACAGTTTCTTTTCTTTACCCTTTATTACCATAAAATAAATTAATTCTCAAGCTAGTCAGCCTTTTCATTAATTCGCCCAAGCATCGAACCCGTCACACCACTAATACCTTATCAATCAAACATTTACTGAAACAATATTTATAAATGGAAACATTAAAATAGTAAAACAAACAAACAAGATCGCGGTTGTATGTTGAATTTATCAAATTCAAAATATATTGTAATTATATATTACATTAACACTAACGATTGTTGCCTGCATGAAAGGACACAGCTGTGAATGCGAAGCGAGCAGCGAATTATAATGTGCATACTATTTGTTGCTCGTAATATTTTAATTAATTCTCACTTAAATTCTCCAAGTTGCTGAGTAAATTGCAATTTAGACTTAAATGGAAAGTTAATACCATACTTTATTTATTACTTTCGGTTTACTAATATTTAAATGATAGTGTCTTGAAATTGTAATCAAAACTAAAAGAACTGAGAATATTTACAGATCAATTTGTCAATGTATTTCGGACGTTTGAATACGTTTGTAAATATTACGCTACAATAGATGGCGTTGTTGTTGTTAAATTATATCTGAAGTATATTATGAAAGATATATGACAGTAATTTTTTCTACTTTTTTTACAAGTCTATATCAATTATACTTCTGTGTTTATATTTACGTAGTCCAATTTCATTAGCATATTCACTTCTTATTAATAGATGTTAAGTTAAATGTAGTTTTTATAATACCTTTATGTGTCTATGTTATTCCAAGAAAAGACCAAACTTTTTAATTCATTCCAAATGTGAATATCTCATTAAAGCGAAAACACATCGCTTATTGTGTGTAGGACATCAAAACTATGTACTGGCTCAAGATAACGTAAAAGATTTAATAAAGACACAAGTTAATCGAATTATAAATCATATTATCTACCACATTTCTAATAATCTGTAAATAATGTTATGTTTATTGAAATACTTGGTTGTCTTATACATAGAAATAGTTATATACAATATCCAAATGTATATTTCAAAGAAATATGATATTTTCCAATTAAATATATACGTATTTTTTTCTATTGAATATTAATCATATTTGTAATAATTTATTAGGTATGAAGCAATAAATTTGAATGACATAGACAACATTATGATTCAACAATCTTTCGCGGGAATACAGAATTCCTAAGTAATTATATAACGAGTAATAATAACATACATCTGTGATTTGTCTGTCATAAAATTTATTAACATCTATTATATATATGTTGTTTACGTCTCTTCCAGGTAACACTTTCACAATTCAAAATTTAATTTGGGCTTTCATATACAAAAGCAGAGTCTATAAATTATGAAATGAACTGAGCGGAACACTGGATTCTGGCTAAATCCATAAGGGCAGTGCCAACAATTAAAAATAATAAGAAGAATTATGAATTATGGGGAAAATTAAATCAAAATATAATAGCCGTTTGGAAAATTCAATCACATTCACATAATTTGACATTTATTCGTTCAGTACCACAAATTCGATTTACGATTTCTAGTCATTTGTATAAATTACCGATAGGAACACCACCATCGACAATATAAGAGGAATGAAATATGAATTCCAGATCACTGGCGAATGTTATGAGTAATCATTGAACAATGTCTGCTTAATTTAATTTACATTTTGAATACGTTACATTTTTATCACATGCGGTGGATTCATTTAACAACAAGTGTCTCTATAATTATTCAAAAATTGCATCTAAATGAACCACTAGTGTTTAATGTTGGGTCATTGATGTGTATTAAACATTTATTAAATTGTAAACTGTTAATTCATCTTAGACTACTAATGAATATTTGCTGTTGAAAATCGAAAAATTACGCTGTTAAAAAGTTTACGATAAAATACTTACAGGTTCTAATTTATTTGAACAGTAATATGGATGACGGCTAATTTTGTTTGTTTACCCGTCAGATAGATTATTGAAGAAATATTCTTAAATACGTATTTTTTTGCGTAATCAATAAATTATTATGGCGATAAATTGAGTTGAAATGTCGCACGACGTACATTTTCTACAAAACTGTGATGTAGCGAGCACACAATCCCCAATTTTAGTGCATATTATCTCAGCCATTCCTTGTTTAAGTTGAATCAAAAAATACGTATCTAGTATTCTAATATTATCTGAACAACGGACTAAATAGTATTTCTATCATATCAAAATACATTCTTACGAAAATACACTGTCATATGAGTGGTATTAGTACGTTATAAAATATCCCAGAATTCATGTAAAAATATAACTTTAATATGTCAAGGTATCTATCGAATAATACGGATCTTTATATTCGCCATTGATGGAAATGGCGTGTTAACGCAATTGGAATGCAAATGAAGCTATGGTACTTTCACACTGGCTAATCATTGGATGGATGATCGAAAGTTTCATATTCTGAGTTACTGAATGCTTTGTAAGACATACGAGGCCTTTATCGCTCACGGCTGCACACTAAGAACTAACAACTTTTCGAAATTGCTTTTGTATTTATGTATTTAAATCAAATGACACGTGACCGACCACTCGCGGTCTCCGTGACCGCACATAGGTGGGTGTGTAACTATTTTGTGTTTATTTATTTCTTACTTTTTTAGTCTTAGAATATACAAAAATGATGAAAATATCGAAACATGATTCCAGCAAGAGATCTCGGATGAAGAAGATATTTCTGGCGAGGATTGCAGCGACTTCGAACCTGATATTACCGACTATCTAGTGCAGATTGAAGAGTGTGAATCGGAGTCTAAAATTGAGTATGATGACTATCTAAATAGCTTGCCGGAACCAACAGCCTCTTAAAGGTCACAATCTCCATAAGAAAGCGACTCGGAGGAAGATAATATTCCGCTTTCGCGCTTGCAGTCTAGAGGTAAACCAAGAAAGTAAAATTATTTTGGCAGTAATCATTGCTGGTCATCTGTGCAGTATTATATGTAATATTATACAGTCACCAAGGTCAGAAGACTCAAAGTCGATTTAAATTTTTGAAAAAGTTGGCTGAAAGTTAGTTTACCAAACCGCATATGGCACGTCGCGAAAACAATGACCGCGTTCTGAGGGACATCATGAACAGTATTTTCAGATAAAAGGTACCTTTCCAAGCACTTCTGATGCCGAAAAACTTGAAGTTCGTAAAACATGTTTCACGTGTGATCCAAAAAATAAATGTATGTTTGTATGTAAAGTACCGATTTCTTTGGAGTACTCGAAAAAAATGTGTTGTCACTGCTGCGCAAAAACGTGAAAGTTGGGGCATCGTAATTTTGTTTAGTTTTTTAATTTTTGTTTAATTTTATCGTTTGATTTTATTTTTAGTTTATTCAAATTATTAGAAACAAGGAAAACAAGTGAAAAAATTTAGTTCCTGATGATACAGATCTCATTTTATTACCTTCGTTGTTTTTGATGCCATAATTCTTATTTCATAAGTATTCATTAATTTTTGAAGATTTTTCTTTAACTGTTGCTAATTTGTGGTGCAAGAATAAAGCAATTGAGTATATTAATGCATTTTATTAAACCCAACTGTAATTTGTTATCATTGGTTCTAAAATTACTTCCGCACGTAGGTGGTTCAAGAACAAAATTAGGTGCTAGGTGGTTGAGAGTAAAAAACTGGATATATAATTTGAATTAAATTTAAAACGCCAATACATCATAGTCTAAAATCGTTATCCAAAAAAGTATCACAGTCAACGTTTCTGAAATACACAAGAAACCTTGTAGGGAATATGGCAAAGCCAGCCACTTCTTAAAACAAATCCTTTCAGTAAAGAAATATCAAACCATATGCGCATTCAAACTTTGTTTATATCTCTCAAAGCCACCTCAACTTCTGTTTTGCTTGCGCTCTCTGTAAAATGATATTGCTCGGAGTTTTTCAACTTCACGATACAACTTTGTTTGACTGAATTGTTTTAATCAATTTTTATCTTAAAAACCCGATTAGTGGGCTATTAAATTCAAAATTATCTTTATCACCTGAATATCATCATCAGCCTTTTGACGTCCCCACTGCATAGGCTCATGCCTTCCTTATGGATGGTTAAAGAGCATAGGCCATGACTCTTCATGCTGGCTAAATGCGGATAGGGGGATATTAATGACTGCAAATGCCGACGGCCTAATGTGCCTTGCGAAGCACTGAATAACTCGATATAGTAATTTTTGGCTAACAATCCCGTGATCGACCCTTGCGAAAGTTGCTTAACGACAACGATCGCGGGCCGCGGCCCTTATTTACTACGTCACTGAGCTGCTATCTGGTTATGATATTTATCGGTTATGATAAGTACTTTTACAACCTGCGGTAGCCGACTTAAATTGTTGATTTGCTTTTATCAGGCACTAACTGTTTTTCCGCTACTTCGCCCGCTTAATTATAAGCTATATCATCCGCGTATGATGTACTTCAAGAAGGTGATAGAATTTAAAGGGATATTTCCGAAGATTACCCCCAACAAAGAAACAAATTTAGAAACTTTATCTCCTTAAAAAATAATATGGATATTGTTTGTTATTTATTTAGTACACATATAAGGTGGTATACTTATCAATTTATGGATTTTTTAAATATTTACAATAATCATTCTTATTTTGTTAATTCTTCTCAGTGCAAAGTGTGAATCTGTTATTGTGGGTATACTTTAAAAGTATGATTATGGACACTCGTTATTAACCTATTTAAACTACTTAAAGTAATGGAGACTAAGTATAGAAAATCGATAATTCAACGGATCCAATTATTTATTCCATAGTAAGTATACAAATTTGATTGTAGCACCTCTCTTCTTGCCAATCTCCGTCTCAATCTTGCAACTAGAGTGATGTCACTTTCCGGGCTCCTCCTCGAACTAAGATCAGGACACCTTAAAATTCAAAAAAACTTTTAAGTTAAGATTTAGTAGCAAAATAATGAACAGCGGAATTTCATTTAGAATTAAAGCGCCCGCTTGAGAAGTACAGGAAATTACGTCCAAATAACTATTTCGCCAATCTTCTTCTGCTTCCGAGGAAAATGCAATTTCATTTGGTTTATTTTTATCGGTAGATATAGTGTTATGTAAATTAATAATTACTTTAAAATTGCTGATCTGACACCTTACAAAATTTTTTAGATGACGTCAAACATACTTTTTAATCAAATGTTTTAAAACAAATCAGTAATGTTGTCCAAATTCCTGAATTTTACGAGTCTAAAAAATATAAAATCACCGGTAACTTTAAGTGTAACTCAAAATCGTCTTATATTGTGTTTTTATTAAAGTAAATGGCAACGCAGGTAAAAGTCTGTTACAGGTGTTACTTACAATAAAGATGTAAAAGTAAATAATTGAAACTGATTAACATTTAATTTATCTCAATACACTATCTCCTGTCCATAGCTTTAATAACAAGCCACGCCGTTGTTGATTTTGTCTCAATTCAATTTGAATTTTTTAAACGACTCAATTTGACAGTATTTTTTATGTTATTACTCCAACAATTATGAATCAATATTCAAAATTATTTTTTTATGCGACAGCTTAATGAGCCGAAGTTCCATTTAAATTTTATCGAAATTAAATCAGTAGTTTTCTTTTTATAACAAAACATATTATTCTTATATCAATTATATATTTTAGTGTCATGTGTATATCAGCGGAAAAAACAAAAGATTTCTATGTTAAATGAGTATTATGACTATTATGAGTGATAAATAATATATTTTTTGTACATTGATTATACTTTTTTATATCTTTATGTAAATATATATACTCTTTGTAGACATGTTTTAAATAAATCTATGGCTTTGAAGTTCTATAGCTTCGATCAACAATATAACTTCTATAGTCAGTAAAGGTGTTTTTTATATACACCCAATACTCTTATTACTTCAACTTTCCTCAGGTTTCTCTATTTCTACTGAGCTATCCATAATATAATAATATATTAAATTATTTTTATGCAAGTAGGTATGTTCAGCGATTTCTTCGTGGTTATGACATTCAAATATATAAAATTTTCAGGCTTTTCGTTGTAAATATAATTTGTTTTATATAGATATTTAATATTTTAGTGATATTTATACAAAATATTTATAAAAATATTGACATAAAAATATTTTTCAAAAATAGAACCGTGTTCAAATTTTATAAAATGGAATAATAATACTTATCTTCAAAGTGGTTATTCTTCACGTACTGAATACGTTTTTTTAAGAAACATTGAATTCGGGCTGTTAATATTTAATAATCATCATCATTAGCCTTTTTACGTCCCCACTGCAGGGACTCAAGCCTTCCTTATATTCATAAAAGAGGATAGACCATGAACCTCCAAGCTAGCCCAATGCGGATTGGAGGGTGTTCAAATACAGCCTGTACCAACGGCTTAACGTGCCTTCCGAAGCAAAGAGTAGCTTGAAATAATAATTTTTTGGTTTGCCATCCCGTAGCTGACCCTTGCGAAAGTTACTTAACAACAACAATTGCGGACCGCGGCACTTATCTACCATACCATCGAGCAATTTCATAAATTAATAGAAAACCTTAGCCCGATCTTTTCTATCGTTCATACCTATAAAAAATGTCTACTTGGTGTCCACTGGAAAACGATGGAAAGTAATCAGAGAGAAAACCACGAGGTCGATTATTAATACAGATAGAGAGAAAAGAGGATGTATAATGTAGAGTTAAATACAAAAGTTAATTATATAAGTTGTAATAATATTAAGTGCCAGGACTTCGTTGGGTACTGAAAAAAAAATATCGGAGCAACACCGAACTCACGAAGAAATACATTATATACTTACAATTTCCAACAGTATGAAACAGTTGATAATGTTTACGTGAATTCAATATAGCTCCCACAGTAAAAATCGTTCAGAATAATTTATCTTATCCACCTCGTGGAGACCTGACACAATATAATTTCAAAATATTACCGTCAATAATGATTTTGTGCAAATTATGAAACACAATTAAAACTTTTCGTCAAACTTATCAATATAAAAGGACATTGAAAAGTTTTTGTCTGTCACTTACTTATATATTTCTTTAGTAATGAGGTCATCGTTCTTACACCTGATGGTCCACTGGCTCCAATATTTGAAACCTTCGCGGTAGAAGATTAGCTGAGCACACGCGGTGTCGTCACGTATGTCATCGTCGAGGAGAGCTGATGAAAAATATATTGTCATCATCACCACCTTATTAATATCCCAGGCACAGGCCTTCTCTATGTACTGAATCGAGGGGACACAGCATGCGGGCTTAGTACGCATTGGTGGTTGTTAACGATTGCAGAAGCTTCCGAAGCAAGGAGGAAATAATATCGAGAGCTCGAGATAATATTTTTTGGTCATCCTATTCTATGACCGGACCTGTGGAAAGTTGTTTAACAACTATATTGCAAACTGAACTCGCTAACCACTGCACTAACAACATCTCTGTTCTTCTCGTTGGTCGAGAACGAATTCACTTGGTGTGTTGGTCAAAAAATATTGTGTTGATATTTATTCATATACTAGAGGTAAATATGCTTTCTTTGGAAAGAAGCTTTCTTAAAATCGTAAGTATAAAAAGGTTCAGTCTATCGCTTAATAATTATAGCTCATAATTAATTTAACTATTAATAGATAAATCACGTACTGAATACGTGCTCGACGTACCCAGTATGTGATGTTTGTATACAAACATATTCCTTGCGTGGTTGTTAACAGTATTTATAAGAGTGGATTTAAAAAAAAATACAATACTCACATTCACAAGCAACGTTGCAGTCTCCACCTTTTTTACCCTCACGGCACCATTTGTTGGGTATCTGTAACAATCACTAAGCATTGTTAGATTATTAAAAATGATACATATTAAGACAAATAAGACCTGTCATTACAATTCTATCTCAAAAATTGGTCTTGTATATTCCACTATTTTTTTCGAGCCATGACACATGATGTCCGTAATTATAATAAAATAACAAATAAATGAAATACATTAGTGAATTGGTAATAAAATGACTTCAATTTAAATCTAACTATGTAGCAACCAATGTATCACTAAAGGAGTTGGTTTTGAGTTGTAATAATCCAGAAAATAGTCAAGCGCCTGTCGCGCAACAGCCGCGACCAGATAAAATATTCCCAGCTATTAAAATTTCAAAACTAGTAAAATTTCGCACATCTTTTACTAGTTTTGTTTTACTTTTCACTGATCAGTGCTTGTGCAGTGTAGTACTGTATAGTACTAGCTTTTGCCCGCGACTTCGTACACATGGTATCATTACTTTATAGCATTTCTAATAACGCTAAAACAAATATATATTAATTTATCGTGTAGATAAAATACCTGAACATAAAGTTTCATAATTTAATATTTGACAATGACAAACTTCCATACCAACTTTAATTCTCATTTATAACAATAAAAAGCAACCTATTATATCCTGTGTCATCGAGTCGACTCTGTTAAGTTGGTATGAAAGCATAACAGACGCATAGACAGACTTATTTTCAAATGTAATAATTAAACGATTTTCGTCGTCCCTCATTCCATTATATAGTAAAAGATTACAAGACAGTCACCGAAGAACAATATAAATTACAATTGTTTAGTCGACAGTGCCAGGGACAACGTTTTTAAGCATTATTTACCTATTAAGAATATTTTTCAGTATAACATTGTGAATACAACATTGATAAAAATATAATAAAGAGTAGGTATAGTCAAGTTTTAATACTATAATGTTCATTAATTATTACATTGCAATTAAGACATAGTGGTATATACATTGTATTATTGTTAAGTGTTTTATATTCAAACTAGCTTTTGCACGCGACTTCGTTCGCGCGGTATAGTTACTATGGGCAGCAGTTCTAAAACGAATATTCAATCATTATATCATGTAAAATACTTGAAATAAAGTTTAATGGATTTTGTCTTTAACAATAACAAACTTTAATTCCATATTTTAACTCTTTTATCACAAAAAACAATCTAAGTATGTTCTATCTCAAGTCGACTCTGTTTAGAGGGTTAGACGTGAGAGCGTGAATGACATATACACAGATTTATTTCGCATGTATAATATATGTATGGAATAATTTAATGATCCTCCTTGTCGCTCATTACTTCATATAATAAGAGATTACCAGACAGTTACCGAAATAAATATACTATAAAAATAATATAAATCACGATTCTTTGGTCGACTTTTAAACTCACAGCTGCTAAAATTCAAATTCAAATTTTAAATTATTAATATTATAATGAATATGTCGTAGACAACTGGGTAAAAGAAGAGAGAGAAAGAAAAACGCGAATCTAATGTCCACATAAAACTTAATAGAAAACTAAAATATACGCAACTTTTTTAACAAAACGATTACGCAGTTTAGTTGAGATTAAACCCCATCACCATCATCAGCCCCACTGCAAGGGTTCAGGTCTTCCTTATAGATTGGTTGAGTAAGATGGGCCATGAGTCTCCACGCTGGCCCAATGCGGATTAGAGGGAAATAATGACTGCAAATGCAGCCGAGACCAACGGCATAACGTGCCTTCCAAATCACGGAATAGCTCAAGATAATAAATTTTTGGTCACCCATCCCTTGACCAACTCTTCTTAAACTTGCTTAACAACAACGATCGAGGCGCTTATTCACCACACTACAGCGTTACTTATCCGTATAGCAAAGCTTAAAATTTTATTTGAAAACTTGAACCTACAGTGCGATGTAGTATACTTAACGCCATCTAGTATAGCACAAAATGTCTAGATTGCGTTTTCTTTCGTACATAAAATTATTTTTACTTGAATATTTTCAAAATTATTTATTTCTAATATAATTTTTGTTACTAATATGTACTCAAATACCAATTTTAATCGCTATACAATGAAACATTTTGTAAATAATATTAGATAAATTTATTACAATGACAAATTACATTGTAAACAATGTTTGCTATGGTAATATTTTGATTCCCCATAAAATCGTTCACTCCCATTTTTATCCTATTAAGTGCTAGTTTTCGGGATAAAATATAACCTATTACCTTCCTAAGGTCATAAACTATCCAAATATCAATTTTCATCGACATAGGTCCATAAACAAAGAAGTTTCATACAAAATTTTACACCCTTTTTGACCCCTTTCCGGATGGAATTTCCAAAAATCCGTTCTTAGTACACCTCTCCGTATTTAAGGGGAATGTTCCCTCCAAATTTTAAGTTTCTACGACCAGCGGTTTAGGCTGTGCGTTGTCTATCAGTCAGTAAGTCAGGACATCTCCTTTTATATAGGTATAGATGTGGATTCGTCAAAAAATCATAAATAATATAGCTCCAAAGGTCCACTGTACATTTATACGCTATAGCTGTGGCGTTAGTCCATTGTAATTTTTTACGCTGTGGCTTTAAACTATTACAATAAAGGTGCATCATTCCATTAGACATATAGTTAAAATATCATCTTTCTGTTTAGTTAAACTGCAAGATCGTATAGACGTACGTATGTATGGGTTACATTCAATAGTCACGATACAATCGGAAAATGTAAATTAAATACGATCCGCTTCTATTTGCCGACGGCGGGATTGCACGGGTCCCCCGATGATACGGATCATGGACTGTCTCATGAATGTGCTAATGAGTACACTTAATTTGGCAGACGGCAATCTATTTCAGTTAGACAGGCGTTATTTTACTACCTGACCGAACTATTTACTCAATGCTGAGTAAATGAAAAGCTTCTCAACTAAGGCGATATTTTTATATTATTCGTTTGATTTAATTTTCTGTTTATCTTTTTTTATTAACATTATGTTGATACCAAAACCAACGCAAAAACTGTTTATTGCAAAGTTGATAATAAATACTCGTACATTAACAAAAAAAAATATATCTATAGTTAAGCAAACGGGACGTTAAAATCTTCTGTCAATGACATTCGAAACCTAAAAATGAAGCAAGAAACATCTTGATACAAAACGATACCAACTTCCGAACTTCGATGGGCAATCTCCTCTCTTATCAAACAGTCAAAAGTCTCTTGCCTGGATCACGAGAATGTAAAGGATAAAGTGTCTATAATTTATACTATATAATGATGACTAATGACGCATACCATAGGATTACCCAGTTAATATTAATAGTTTTTATGTTATTAAAAATTATATCTATAGTTAAGTAGTATAAAAACTTTATACATTATATATGTACATAATTATAATATATGTATAAAGCTTTTATGCTACTTAACTATAGATATAATTTTTAATAACATAAAAATTATTAAAATAGCTGGGTAATCCTATGGTATGCGTATGAAGTGCAAACCTGCATTAGGCCTGCGTCTCCACGCAGGCCTAATGCAGGTTTGGGGATGTTAACAACTGTAAATGCAACCAGGACTAACGGTTTGACGTGCCTTCCGAATCACGGAGTAGTTCGAAATAATATTTTTTTGGTCACCGACCGTTGCGAAAGTTGCTTAATAAAAACGGATGTGGGCTGCTGCACCACTGAGTTGTTTATCACATGACTTTAATGTAAACCGAACTTTTTCACCGATTCTCCTTAATTTTGCTTAAACTATCGTTTTTATTTTTTAATGACACGTAAAATGCAACATAATTTCTTTCTTGCTTTTATTTAAGTTGCCGAGATATCGAGATTGATATTGGAATAGTCGACAAAAGCTACATCTTTGCAACTCAATGTTAAACGTTAATAGTGTAATTGGTTATTATCACATGATTCACCGGAAAATATGTATTTCTTTATATAATTTTCATTCCTTTATAAACCGCAACTATATTTGGTCAATCTAAATAATATAACTCAAAGGTGACTGACTGACATCTGTTTTACTGGACGGATCGGGCTGAAATTTGGCATGCAAGTAGATGTTATGACGTAGGCATCCGCTAAGAAAGGATTTTGAACAAATCTACTCCCTAGGGGATAAAATATGGGATGAAAGTTTGTATGAAACTTTGTCAATTTCAAACCGATCGGGCTGAGACTTTGCATGTATAATGCTACTGTAACGTGGGCATCCCCCAAGAAAGGATTTTTAATTCCAACCCTAGGGGGATAAAATAGGGGATAAAACTTTATTTCTGATATTTCACACGATATAGTAAATAAATATTCGATAGAAATGCTACTCACAGTAACTTTACGAAACAGACGAAGTCGCGGGCAACAGCTAGTTCCCCTATATTTTCTTTATTTTGCCTCTAATATATTGTATATACATCTACCTGATATAATCCATATAATTTCTTCCCACTGGGTGTGACGTGAAATGCCGCCGTGTCCCGGTTACTCACTTTTTCAATTAGGCACACCCCTGTCAGAAAAGAACAATCATAGAAACTAAAAGTAACTTCCATGTAAATGTATTATTTGCAACTTATTTATAAGTTACTCTACATAAGTAAACGAAGCTATCGAATTTTGCTTAGACTATTAAGTTATATGGAAAAAATATTTGTATGATGAATATCTTTAAATAAAGTGCTAAAAAATATTGGCCATCCGAAAGTACCTACTCTGAAATAGGATTCGAAACCATAACCTATTACATTGCAGGCGACTGCTCTACCCAGTAAGCTGTTTAAATTTAAATGTTCATATTAATTTAATTCTAAATGCATTAAAAAATTGCTCCTTTTTATGAAGACACTGTGTCACATAAATACTAGAATGTACCAAAATGTTCTTTCTATTTTTATTTGAATAACAATCTTCTTTGAGAGTAGTATTTGATTTATAAAAAATCTATAATCATCGATTTAGTTTTATGTCATTAACATAAGTACTTTACTTTTTGAAGAGACGAGTAATAATAAATCAGAGAACAAGATTATTTAATGGTCTACATACAATTATAATTGTTTTAACATTAAGGATATATTCATTATTATATAACTTACTGTTGTGAGTTTTAACCCTAATCAACGCTTAATATAAATCTATAACCTATATATAGCTATAGATAACGTGATTGTTAGTGAACATTTATTATTGAAAAACAATGGTACATCGTTTTATAATCATTGATAAAACCCGACCAGATACGAGTTGTATTCATGCACTTAGGGTTGCGTACAAATTTAAATTTTTTGAACCATAATATTTTGTTTGTTTCATTGTCAATATTGAATAGTTTTGGATGGCTTTCGAGAAGATCCCATTAACATTTTTCAAAATATTTTGAAATCAATAATGCCTCATATAAATTGAAAAATAAATAAATAAAAAAATAAAATAAGTTTAAAATATATATATATATTTAATTATAAGAGTTTTCAAATGTCGAAAACAATGATTAAAAACTACAAAAATGGTTAATTAGAAGACAATAAGAAAATTAATTTGAAGCCTTTGCAGTTTTAGGCTTCAATTTAAATTTCTCGTTTTATTGTGTTATTTTCTTTACTTATATTTTATAATACATTTCCTTATATTGACACCTTTATTAAAATTTTACATTCTCAATAAAACCTAATTCAATCAGTGTTTGGAAGAACTAAAAAGTTCAGTTTCTACCTCTTAATAAAAAGAACCCTCAAAATAAAACTATTGTTCTACCACAATATATGTAAGTATCAGTTAAGCCAAGGTCGTATTCGAGTCACGTATAACAAAAAAACCACTCGCGCTCGCACCAATCAACTGATTTGTTCCCACGATTGGGGAACATCGGTGGATTGTACGAGGAAAAATACTATTTCACTCTTTGTGTACAAGCTTTGTTTTATAAAAACCTAGTGCAACCTTCTGGCTTTGCACAGGTTCGATTTTTAAGTATATTTTCTGATTGTTTTCCCGCGACTCTACCTTTCCATGGTTGAAATGATTTTTTAAAACGTTCTAGAAGTCTTTAAGCATATTAAATGCAAACTAATTCTTTATAACATTAGTGTAGCTAAGCTTCCAGCATTATTTGTTTTGACGGTTTCACCAATCATCATAGATTAGAAAATTTAAAGTATTAGTGATTTAATGTAAAACGAAGACTAATTACCGAATTATGATTCATTATGTATAGATTATCAGTGATGCTATTCTGTTGAAAATAGCGTTTGATACAATGCTGTCAAAGTTATTAGAGATGCAATAAAATAAAATCTACTTCCGAAGATAACCAAAGTCTAACTTTATTTAATCTATGATGCTGCGACAGTGCCATGCACAGAAATAGATCTAGTTAGAAGGAACATGTTCGTCGATTTATATGGAGACCGAGCGTGCCCCATTTTATGTAGGTATCATGACGTCACGAACTTAATTTAGTGATGGAAAACATAATTTCTCTTCAATCGAATACATGTTGTATTTGAAACAGCATACCAATTCTTATCGATTTAAAAACCGATATCGAACGACGGAGACCAATGTGTAACATTTTGCTTAAATATTATGTATATGTCACGAATGTAATTTAGTAAAACTGCACAAAATAGTACGTGCGGTGGCGTGACGGAGTCAGCGTAGTTGACGATCAAAATATCGGACCTTTGTCTTCATTGTGAATAGAAATAAGTATAAGCCTCTGTCTAACATTATTCGTGTGACCAAATCATTTTACTTATACCGCATACCTAATATCATATTTTTATCAGTAAGAACCGACAGCTAAAATGATAATTAGTTTTGACAGACAAAATGATAATACTAACGTATCGATAGAAAAAAAATGAGAAAGTCACAGACTTCAATTTAGAATTCAATATAAGTCGATTAATTGAGATCGAGATTGCGTCAATGACTACAAAACTAAATGGATCAATAATTTATTGTCACAATAATACAGTATCACATACTTTATATCAATATATGTTCAATACAAAAATACTCTGAATTTTATGATAATACTTACCATTTCACACTTTCTCTTCCTGAGCTTACTGTACATATTATTTGATTCCTTATCTGAACAAGATGGGTCTATCTACGGCACAAATTGTATTACATTCATTAATTATATAAAACAAAATATTATAAAACAAAGTAACTATTTCATTTTCTATTTGCAGTAAAGTCAAAAACTACTAGTTTTCACCAATAGATAGAATGATGCCATGTATAATTTGCCTAAGCAAAATAATGTGTGCTGAGGCCACTATTAATATCCACTGTAATACAAAATATCACATTTGAAATCCTAACAGTAAACACCGTTTAGCTACTACTAAGCTAAACGGTGTGATTGTTCATTTAACTTCTTCTTTTATTTAATTCCCTCGCACAACTGTGTTTGAATCTGTAACTAAACAAAGATGTGCAAAAGAAATATTACACTGTCACTAAATATATTTCTGTGATACTATCCTATCTATTTATGTCACCTGATTTATCCATTAGATTCGGAAAATTACGGCTGTGACATACGGACGAACAGGCAGACTCATGTTCGATAGGATCGCTGGTAGATTACACTTTTTGTATGAAATAATGTAAAAAATCTTAAGGTATACTTTACCTTTTTTTCAGTTGTCATTATCACAACATCAATAGTCGGATATGCTGTTTTTATTACTCGTCGGTACTTTGATGGACCAGTAAAGGTATCTTCATAGAAATGAATTGAACAAATCCGACTGTTTTTTGTAGGATACCAATTTTTACGTCCTGTTGCTTCAATCCATTTTTTTTTAATATATGGATCATTCGGAAAACTTAAAAAAAAATACAGTACAAATATTCAATATAAAAAATAAATTATCATTTCTTCTGCTTAAAAAACGATTTTTTTTAATCGGTTAAACAACATCGCATTGTACAGCACTATTCGCCATTTTTGTCAGAATTTGACCTTCAACAATTTGTCCTTGAATTATAGATCGATGGTTTTACAAGCACGGCAAATTTGGTTCGTCAAATTAAAGCCGTAATGGAAAGCTATTACTGGACACGTGATCGTTTTGACGAAAATAATACGGAGCAAGAAAACAAATGATTTTTAATGCTTAATGGATATATCAAAACAAATAATTACTTACCGATGGAAGGAAATACCTCGATTATAAGATCCAACTATACTGGTGGTGTTTGAGCAGTTAATTATTGAACAACGCGTCATTTTAAATTTCACACCTAACGTTGAACTCGGATTACAATCGAAAGTAGACTGAGCCTCGCGGCGAGCAACGAAGCTGTCTAGACGTCGTTTCGGCACGCGAAGTACGTACACTTTTTCCTTCTAACTAGATATATTTCTGTGGTGCCTTGTAATGCTATATTTTATAGTGTTATAGACAGCTATGTATAAAAAATATATTATTAGTACTTTTGACGCGCAAAAACAACAAGATAAATTAATAGCACAGATACACATAAACTATGTAATAGCAATAATAGGGACAGAAATCATAAAAAAACACATATAAAAAAAACACAAAACCAAAGATGCTGACAAAGCTGTCTTCAACATACAGAACACAAAAACGAGTATTTAAATACATATAAAACCTCGATTATACAAAATTACTGAAATAACAAAAGTATTATTACATTACAGCATTTCACTGCTGGACACAAGCCTTCCCTATATTTGGCATCGAATAGGGAAAATAATCAACCAAGCTGTCCCAGTGCGGATTGGTGGGTGTTAACGAATGCAGATTGCTGCATTCAACCAACGGCTTAATGCACCGTTCGAAGCGCGGTAGAACTCGAGATAATACATTGGTTTTTGGTTACCCATCCTATGACTGGCTAAGCTGCTTAAGCTCTGCATTACAGACCGAATGGCCTTACCACTATGTCATTGTTCTCGTCCATTTTCTAATTTTTATAAAACCTATCTGAAATTTTAAATTTCATATGGCCTTATAATATAGCTTTTTTATCTGGAAAAGGAATATTATTTAGAGAAGTTATTTAACCCATTATCTTTTTAGTATAGGGTTATTTATAAAGTACGATTTAAAAGTCAATTGAATGCAAAAAGTTTTTTCTATATTTGATGATGCAATTAATTAATCACTCAAAGCAAAAATCAATTAAGTGTTTGTATTGTGTTGAGAATCGAGTTGAATTCTTTTCTTTTAAAAGGCGTATTTTCCAATGAACGACCGAACGATCCAATGGTTTCACTTTAAAATTCATTTATCGCATTTAAATTTTAATGTAACCTATGTACTATGAACTTTACACTTTGAAGCGTATAATAATGTTATTTGAGTCTCCATTTATAGTTTCTGTATATACATTATAGAAGATTTTCAAAGTATAAGGTTTTTTCAGAACATTAGATATCTGAAACAACGTTTTTGTTTTTGGACTTACTTAAACAATAATAAAACAATTGGTTCTGTCACAATTTAAAACTAGATACGTATT